CTTGCCAGACTAAATCTATACTACTGCAACTAGTGGATATACCCTGGGAGGTTCTAGGGAGTGGCTATCCTGAATCTGTTTCCTGCACTCCCCCTGCAGACTGTGTTGTCTTTTTCCTTTCCCTTCCAGGAATGCATCCCCTCCTTCCTGGTAGCCTTGATCTCTCACAATATGTCTAGTTTAGAACTGTGTTTTAAATTTTGTTTTGATTTGGTTTAATAGTTTAAAACTTTTCTTTATTTTGTGCATAAGATTCTATACTTATGTGACCATATGTTTGTTATATACAGGTAGTCCCCAGGTTAAGAATGTATGGTTTAAGGACGACCCATAGTTATGAAGGAAGCCTACTGTAGCAAAATTCAAGTTACATACACAATGGTTCGAGTTCCTTACACAATACCACTTATACACAGCATTATACAATAACACTGTTTCAGTATTATTATTACAATATTACTACAGTATACCATATATATTATTACAGTATACAATACTGTTCCGGCTTACATACAAATTTGACTCAAGGACAGACCTTGGGAATGGAATTTGTTCTTAAACTGGGAACTTCCTGTATACAAAATGAACATGACTGATTCCTTCTGTTCCCTGTTTCAATCTTCACTGCATTTTTTTCCCCACTGCATTGCTTTTGGTTCTTTTCCAAAACAGGTTCTTTGTTCTTTGATTCTTTTCCAAAACAGTGTGTGCCCCTTAAGCTGGCATTTTAACCTGAAAGATCTTTGTAATTCCAAAATGCTATTGAATATACTTTCATTCAGATTACCACCAGCCCTGGTAAGAATTCTTAAGATTGCTGCAAACACAACATTACCCAATGCATTATCTACTCAGAAATACACCTAACTCAATTCAAATGAACCCATTCCCCATGACTGGACTGGTCATGGCATGATGGTAGTTATGAGTTCATGACTGAAGCCACACTTCATTTTGTACATGCATCAACATCACACTCATGTACAAAGGGGTGGAGCTTTGATAACATGGTTGTGACCACCGTCTCAATTTGCTGACTACCCCCCAGGGGAGCATTTGGCTCAAGTTGTGTGTACAGAATTAGTTAACCAAAAGTGTCCACTACTTCTTTAAATCCTCAGCTAATCTTTTATTCCTCTGTATGTTTTCTTGTTATTAAACTTGGATGTATACATTCTTTCCAGTCCATTGTCATCTAAGTTCTGTGGAAGCAGAACCTTCTTCATTCAGGCTTTTTGTATTCTCAATATATGGAATGATTAGTTGTCTCATATCAAGAATGGAATTTACTAGCCTTGACTGCAAAAACATGCAAGTATTTTTAATTAAATTAACTGATTTTTTTTTTAAATGAATGAAAGTTATTCATGTTTGCAGCATAGATATAAGACTGGTTCATTCACAAAATCTCTCTCATGGGCATTTCACAGGATCATCAAGGACTCACCTGAACATAAATGGCATCTTTTACTGCTTCTTTTAAATCTGTGCAACCACTAATGAGAGTGATCTGCTGGTCAGCTTTGAGGGAACCTTTCAGCATTCCAGCTGTTTCGAGTTCTTTCATTTGTTCACTATTAGAACATAAAGGTAACATTGAGATTATTCCTTAAAAGCATTTCCAGAGTTATACTGAGTTAAACAGATGTCATAGTCTTTAAATGCTTCATTGATATTAATATCCAATTCTAACTTTTGCAGACTCACTATGGTTGCCTTCGTGTTACAAGATATAAGGCCCTTCCTAGGGCAGTCTTTCTCAACTTGGCACCATCCAGTTGTAGAATACAACTTCCAACATTCCCAACCAGCACTGGAAATACATTTAAAACTTGAAAAAAGTGTGAGATAACTGATTTGCATTATTATAGAGTGATGAGATTCGAGAGCCCCCTGGCGTCCTGAAAACATCAAATAAGCTTTATAGAAAAAAATACATTTTTTCCAGTAGATTTACACAAATCCCCCTATTATCTATTAACTAATGAGATCCACTGGGAGGTCTGCTGCAAATAAAGCAGGATACCAGTTTTCCAACCAATAAATTAAATTGCTGAGATCAAAATCAGGTCTTTGGTTCAGGGCTGGGAAAAAAATACACAAGGAACGTGGTCACTGAAGTTTCCAGAAATGTGTTGCTGCACAGCATGGATCTGAACCTTTTCATTTCTGCATAGATTTTCTAGGTAAAATCTGGTGCTATTTCCCCTAAAAATGGGGAATAGCTTTCCTGTCTTGTTTTAGGCAAAGGATAACAACACTTACAGCAGCTAAACAGCAGATGGCACTCAAATCTATCTGCAACAGATTAAGACTTATAAATACCATTTGTGACTGGAAGAGGTAACTGACAACATAACCAACATTATCCCTTATTTATTTTAAAAATATTAAAATTACATTTCATAGTTGTTTTCTACTTCCTCTTGGAAACTTTCAAGTTTTCCAAGTTCTGTTCACAAAGTAATTTTTTTTTCATCTTGATTGCAGCATTTTTTTTCTCCATGAAATGAAAAAAAAAAGTACTAGTAACTTATTGAAGGAGAAGTAGTACACGACTTCAAGCGCATTTCTATTCAGTTGCAAGTACGACATCCAAGACATTATCTCCAGCTATAAACAGGCAAATTATTACAGCCCCCAATTTCTCAAAATTATTGAGATTAATACTATATAGGCTTTGGCTGGCTAGCAAGGATTAGGAAAGAGAGTGGGAGGGAGGTTTAAGGAGATGCAACTGTCCCACCACTTCCCAGTCCTTGATCTATAGCTTTCAGCTGGGAAGGTGTTGCATCTGAAGTTTTAATTGCTTCAAATAATCCTGCATGACTAAACAGAGCAAGTCCAAGGCATATTTTCTTCAGAAAATTAACAATAACTGTACTATTACAGAATTAACAATAACTGTACTATTCTATGAGAAATTATCTTTTGTTTGACTGTTTAATCCTATTCACCTCTAAACATTAATGAGCAGTTTCCTAGCATTAAAAATAGGGTACAAATGCAGCTACTTCAGTTTAATTCTCACATACAATCTGAAACCCATCAAGTTTTAGGGATTGGATTTATTAATTACATCATGCTGCCATTCCTTAGTTATGCAAGCCTTTTTAAAAATGTCTGATATAGAGTGATCTGGTTCTTTTAATTCCTGTCATCTTAAATGAAAGATCACTTGTGATCATGTTAAATGTTTTAGAATTATTACTAGTTTACTTTAAGATATCAACAATTTTGAATATTAGATCATATAAAATGGGTACAGGTAGTCCTCCAGTTATGATGGCAGTTGGGGCCAGAATTTCTATTGCTAAGCAATGCAATCGTAAAGCATGACATCACATGACCTTAACAACAGTAATCCCTGCAGTCCCCATCGCGTTGTTAAGTGAGGATCATGGGTCATTAAGTGAGCACCGCCTCACAACTTCCTGCCGACCTCCAACAAGCAAACTCAGTGGGGAAGCTGGCAGGAAGTTGCAAGTCCCAAGCAGCTTGCCAACAGGCAGGTAAGTGGCTGCTGCCAGGTAGGAGAGAGAGCGAGGAGGTGGCCAGGGAGCAGGTGGCCAGATAGATACAGCACAAGTGCAGTGGGGCTTGTGGGTTGGCTGTTCCAAGTGGCAGAGGTTGTGTGAACGGCAAGGGAGGTATGGTGCAAGCACGAGACTCAGGAAGGATAAGCAGGTGGGGGAGACTTACCTGAGCAACTTGCAACCCTCCCTGCCAGCTTCTCTATTGATTCTATTGTGGGAAGCTGGCAGGGAAGGTCATAAATCACAACCACATGACTGAGGGACATTGCAACCAAGTGTGAGCTAATTACCAAGTGCCCAAATTGCAATCATGTGACTGTGGGGGTGCTGGGATGGCTGGAACTTTGAGGCCTTTGTTGTAACCTCCACTCATTCAGCACCATCATAACTTCAAACAGTCACTGAACGAGTGGTCATTAACCGAGGACTATCTGTATTTTAAAACATTAACAACAATATTTGGCGAAATTTAATTCCAGGTTTATAGGTCAGTTTTCCGTTCCAGCGTGAAAAGTGTTACATATTCCACTCTGAATTCCAGGACAGCAGGATACTTTATACAGGGGAAATTCATTATTTCTGAACTCCCTTTAAATATGAAATAATCATATTTACTTCATATTTACTTCAGAGGATTTAAAATGACATAAAGGATATCATTTGTTTCATTTCTATAAAGATACTAATGCACAAATCAATACATTGATCATAAAATTAAAGTAAAATTAACATAAATTTAACTGCCTTGCCTGGAAAACTTCATATGCAACATACTTGTCCACTTTTTCAAGGGAATGACCAGATGAAAATTGTTGCGTCTTTTAAAGTTTCTTTAAAAGGGGTTCTGTTCAAGTGAGTTGTCACTGTACAGCATTTCTCCAGCTGTGCATCATGACCCCCAAGAGGAATGATGGAAGGGAAGGGAGAGGGATGACAGATTGCACCTAGGAGAAAATTGCAAGATGGAATTTACAAGCACTGGGCAGGAAGGAAAGGATTATTATCTCAGTGTGGCTGTGCTGGGAGATGACAGTCTCTCAGTGCTTTGCATGCTGCAGAATTTGAAGAACAGTTTAAGGTAAGCTGAGTTAAGGCAAAGAAAACCCTTTTCTTTATTTTCCCTGGTTCTGATGAATGAATTCCAGATTTCAGGGATTGTGCAAAAGTAAACAAAGTTTATCCTATCCCTTAAATTATTAAAAGTAGTATGTGTATTTCTTGACTAGTTCTAATCCCAATGAAATCATTACTGACTTGAAGGCACCCCCCCAAAAAAAGTGCCTGATTCCAAGGGGGGGGCCTGGGAGGTTGATAAGTAGAGACTATAAGAGTCATGCAATATAGCCAGATTCTAGGGAGCAAACTCACTTGCTGATATGTAAACTTGATCAGGAGGGCTTACATTAAATTAAATTAATATTTATTATATTTGTTTTAGCTGCCTACTCTAATAGACTCTGGGGGGCTTACAAGATGCAGAAACAACACAAACAGGCAGCCTGGACTACAACAACAAAAAAGATAAACCATACAAATACAACAGGAGCCCCAGAAATACATCAATAAGCACATTAACCCCAGGGCTGGGAACTGAGCCAGGTTTTAAGGGCTTTCCAGAACCTCAGGAGAGTGGACACCGTTCACATTTCTAGGGGGATGCTAATCAAGAGGGCGGGGGCAGTAACAGGGAAGGCACGCTTCCTTGGTCCTACAAGATAGCGGTGTTTAATAGAGGGACCTGGAGTGTACCCACTCTGAAGGTGGCTGGAGGGAATAAATAATCATCAAGAATCTCAAAGATTTAAACAGCATAGAAAAAAGTAGATTATGGAACTTATTACAGTTATGGAGCTTATTAAACCATTGGATGAAAAATCAGAACACTGGCTTTAAGTTTATGATTTTTGCTTTCTATCCACTAATGTTCAGAATATGGGAAATAAAATGAGATTATACTTTTAGTATAGGAAAGTGAATATGATACAATAGGTATCATAATAACTAGATAACAGTTGAAGGATTCAATTTGTTCAAAAGGAACAGAAGCAACAGAATGAAAAGAGGAATCGCACTGTGTAGTAAAAGTATCCACACTTACTTAAAAATTCAAGTAAAAGAAGTTGGTGGTATTGTAAAAAGCATGTGGGTTAAAAGAAAGAAAGATTAGTATACTAGTTGCTCAATGAAGTCAAGAGAATGATAACAGTAAAATCAAACAACAATGGAATTATTCAGTTCTTATTCTGGCCCAGTTTTCTGTGAAAAGGGGATATATGTTCCACCAGGCAGTTGTAAAGAAATGGATAAAGAGATAGGATTGATGCTTAAGAATAAAACATGGGCAAGCATTAACTGAATTTGAATGAAGTTAAATCTGTATGCCAGATTAATTGTATCCAGGACACTGAAGGAACTGATTATCTGATTTAACCTTTATGTAACAGTGTTGAGAAATTCTGGAAAACCAACAAAATGTCAGGAACCTTAAAGAGAGCAAATGTTACCCTACCTTCAAAAAGGGGAAAAGGACAATCCAGTCAACATAACAGTGATACCTGGGAGATTTTGATAGATCTTATCTCTTTTTTTGATTGAATAGCTTTCTTGATAGATTGTGGGAATGCTGTGAATGTAATATATCTTCAGCAAAGTATCTCATGAAGTAGTCCATGAGATTAATTCACAAGCTAGTTGTATGACAATCTAGTGGAAACATAGCTGGTTTGAAAATTGTACTCAATAAGTACTTATCAAGAGTTCTTCATCATACCAAGCAAGATGCCATAAGATTCAGTCCTGGGTTCTATACTCTTTAACTCTAATATTAAATACTTGGATGTGGAAGTGAAGAGACTATTCATCAGTCCTGAAGATGACACAAAATCAAGTAGAATAACTATCTTACAAAAACAGAAGCAAATTCAAAATAATCTTGATACATTACAGTGAGCTGAAAATGACAAAATAAAATTTAAAAGAGATGAATGTAAAGTTGTGCAGTTATGAAACAGAAAATAAATACACAAGTATAGGGATAGGGAATAGCTGGTTTGGTAACAGTAGTTATGGTAAAGATTGTGGAATAGTAGTTGATTACATCCTCAATATTTAATTTTTTATTTACTATATTTGTTAATTCCTTATCTTATGACTTTATGCTGGGCATAACAAAATGAAGCAAACCAGAAATAATACAAAAAACCCCCAATAATCAATTAGAAATACAATAGAAACATACATGCATAAAGGAATGCCTATGCTCCGATCAACTAGAGGTGAAAGGTCATTGAAAAGGAAGGGTTTCACAATCTTTCTAAATATAAACAAGGAGGACATCATCCAAGCCTCCAGGGGTTAACATATTTCATAACACGGAGGCCACCATAGAAGGTCTGCCGCTTCTTCCAAATTCCATGAACTTCAGGCAGAGAAGGGATTCTTAGCAAGCTTTTCTGAGAGGTCTGAACTAGATGAGCAGAGTTCACTGCAGTAATACCAGTAGTACCCCGGAAAAAAGCTACTAACAACCATGGTATCAAAATGCCATGAATAGCAAACCCATGAATAGCTATAACAAATACACCAGCAGTGAAGCTAATGAGATTATTCTTTTTCATCTAGTAATCCTCTGCTTGGAAAAATGAGATTTCTCTAAAGTATTTCATTTCAGAATATGATATTCCAAATAATACATATTACAGTAAATACAAAAGGGACATCAGGTGCAAGTAGCTTATCTCCATGGCTATAAGGATTATAAATCTGTTTTTACATTTCATTCCTGGCTGAGATTCTCAGGTACTGTTGGTCTTACACAAGCCAGGGACCATATACAGAATATTGTCTGAGAAAATGACTGTGTTCTTTGGGAAATTTAAAAATCTTTGGAAGATTCTAAGATGTTCATCTGAATCAATGAATCACTAAAAGCTGATATAAAAAATTATAATTATATACCCTGAGAATCTTT